TATTTGTACAGTTCCGCCGCATTTTGGTAGCAGAGAGAGCCAAACTCGAGGGCAAAAAAGCCGATCTCCTACACTAATGTATTCAGCTTCCGTGGAAGTCAATACTGCCATGGAAACTACTCCCTACTTCCATGAAAGTGACACGTTTTTACTTCCATGGAAGCGCTGCACGACACTGCCATGGGAGTCAAGTTGACTTTCATGGACGTAAATATGAAAAAGGTGGATGTGCCACTAATATTAGACCATCTGACCAGTCAACGTTGACTGGCCAGATGGTCTAATTTGATCTGATAAAAGATATGCTCAGAGCTCGTTAACACCCGGCTGGGACACATGGGCTTGTGGCTTAATCACTGGGATTGAGACTAGGATTCTCCGGGGGCGGACCCCTCGCCAGTCGTTGCTTCTTGCAAAGGTAATTTTACGCAAAGAAAAGTGTCCCAGCCGGTATTCGAACTCGTGCAAGTATCCTTTATCCGTTATCAGATAAAATTAGACCATCTGACCAGTCAACGTTCACTGGTCAGATGGTCTAATTTTATCTGATACCACTTCCATGGAAATCGAATTTCCACGGAAGTCCTATTGGACTCCCATGGAAGTGGAGTAGCTTCCATGGAAGGTAAACTTAGAATTCCATGGAAGCTACTCAAAAGAGGGCAATGCCAGCTTCCATGCAAGTATTCAGCGTCGGATATAGCGTCCATGGAGGAAGTAAGTTCACGGACTTCCATGGAAGCTCTTTCGAATAGCATGAGGTAGCTTCCATGGAAGTCTGCAATGGTTTGCATCGCTTCCATGGAAGCCATCGACGAACACCTCCATGGAAGTCATCGAAAGAGCTTCCATGGAAGTATATTGCGTCCAGCCAACTTCCATGGAAGTACCCCCCGCAAGACTTCCATGGAAGCAGTCGAAAAAGTCTGCGCCTGCTTCCATGGAAGTCTTGCCATCTAGACAAGCTTCCATGGAAGTTGATTTCCACCGCTGTCACCTGCTTCCATGAAAGTTCTTGTAGTCAGCTTCCATAGAAGTGTTTCTGCTCCACGCCACACGCCTTATATGTAAACATTTTCGGCCGGTCCAGTATCGATGGGGAAGTTTGGATACTTCTGGTCAGCTTCCACGCAGCAAGTATTCCACGTCCTGCCAGCTTCCATGTCAACGTCATCTCCAAAGACTCTTACGGTGCAGGGTGTGCACGTCTCTCTCTCTCTCTCTCTCTCTCTCTCTCTCTCTCTCTCTGACGTCGAGATCAGCTTTGATGAGTCGTGATAGCTGGATGTTCCTGGCTTAGCGCCGCTGCCTTTCCCACGCGTGAAGATGCCACACACCAAGCCCCACCCCAACCTGCAGGGTTTTCACACACACGTATCATGGTCTCGCACGACGCTCGCTGGCTTGGAACTGTATGTAGACGCACCTATAATTATTCTGCTGGCGACGCCTCTTCCTCTGTAGAGGGAACCTCCTTTGGAAATTGCCCCCCCCATGATGCAAACATCATGTCTGTCGCTCGGTCTCTCCGTCTGATTGTCTCTCTCCCTCTCCCTCGCACCCTACCTATGTAAGTAATGATCGATCGGTTGATTGTTCGGAGATGCATACATACACGATGAAGTATCGACAACTCGGCAGGGGTTTCCTGCTACCCAGACGCAATGGCGACGGAGGTTAAAGCGATAAGGGGTACTGTAGTTTGCGAACAACCCTGCAGGTGGTCAATTTTGACCACAGGAACGAACGCTTGGGTCAAGCTACGGACGCGCGGACGCGCGTAATTGCGAACAACTGTACCTCCACGGAAACTGGCAATAGGTGGCATTCGTCCAATATTGGTGTGGGGTGATACGCCTTTTAGGTGGAAGTGGAGGAAGCGCGAGGTGAAGTGGTGGCAGTGGTGGAAGTCTTGGAAACCATCCAACTTCCACTACCATGAAAAGTGGGAACAGTTGGTGTTTGTCAACAGTGTCAGTCACGTGGAACACCTTAGATGGAAGTCATGGCAGCGCCTGTCTGAGTTAATTATGTGGACGTCGTGGAAGTGAAACAATTATTTCATGTAAACTCGCCTACGGTGGAACTTCCCTGATAGTCTCAGGTGGAGTGCCTTTGGTGGAAGTCGCGGCAGCGCTTGGCGGTACAACACGGAAGTCTAACCACTGAAGACTGCCCTTGCCTGCGTTATTTTATTCGCCATCTGTAATCGGCAGCATTGTAACGGCCCCACGTATAATCGTCCACGGCCTCCTTCGGTATACGGTCGACACACACAGTACTCGTGTTCCGTACCTGTCGTATCCGCCCCTGCTTACTTGGATTCGGCAGCAACGCCTTCCGTGTGGTCTTTCCCTGATGTAGCATTTTCGGGTACACACTATGAGGTCCCCGCCTCTTCTTGGACGTGTTTCATTGTTCTCCTTATCAATATATTAGAACGAATAGTAGTCAACATTGGGACTCGCAGGTACGACTACGACGTACAAATCCAAATCCCCACCATCCTCAACGTTTTCATCCATGCCATCCATATCACACCAAGTCAATCGAGCGACACCTCGGCATCGCATATAATATGTCCTGTCCTCGTGTTGGAATCCGCTTCCCTGGCGTTGCTCGCGTGTGGAAGTTTCGAACAGGGTTCCAGGATTTGCGAGAGTTGACCACATCATCCGCCCCTCGTCTATTGTTATATATATGTGGTCCTGACAAACATCGCACGACCCATGGCCCATGGGTAAGTGCCGCATTGTTGTCGGTGTTGTCTTCGCAATAAAAAAACCCGTTCCGGTCTCCGATCAGTACGTTAGGAGGTCCGTACTGGTCCAGCTGACGCGGACGCATTCCGTGTTAACAAGCCAAAGTCGGGGTGGTAGACCATTAAAAAAGACAAAAAACATGGTCCCCATAAACGTACTCCAAGGCGTTGACTTTCCACCCAAACGAAAAAGAAAAAACAAAGAAAAACCAAACGGGATAAGGACGATCGATCCCGATCGAAATGATAAACGAATAAGGTTTTCTCTGGAAGAGACAACAGAAGGAGATGAAGACAAAGAGAAGAAGAGGGAAGATAGACAGGTTCCCTCCAACGCTCCAGTCCAGCAGAAATAACGACGAAAAGTATAGGCAACTATTGACGCGACACCACACAGATGACTTACTTTAGACGACAATACAGTTATCACGAAAACCATTTCTGTACGAATTTCCGGGCATTCAACACAAAGAAACCACCGAGTTAAAATTGGGTATGTATCCGGTTGCTTGTCGTTGGTTGTATGTGGTGAACTCGCCTTGGGGCGAACCACTTCCGAGAGAATACCACGTCGTCATCCGATACCTCCTCCAATTCTGAAGCCCCCCCTCTGTGTTACGTGGACAATTCAACCGTCGAAGTTGGCATCTTCGGACAGGAGGTTCGAGTTTAGGAGAGTCTCGTTCCTGACCAGGATCGCATGGCTAAGGAAGAAGTCGCGTAGCACTCGGGGCATCTGTTTGACGGAGTGCCCGAAGCCTGGATGGGGGTGAGACAAAATGGAAGTAAACGCTTAAGAGACCAAGATGGCGGAGGATTGACTCATATACTCTAGGGCTGCCGAAGGTTCAAGACAACTATGTATATTCCACCACATCGCTATGTTAGAAGTGATCCACTCACAGGAACATAGTTCCAAGTACAACGCGACCCTATCGTACACTTCAGACAACCTAAAGTACGGACTCTATCGGGTAAGAAGCACTCCGTTTAGAACACAGTTTTGTTTCGGTACCAAAGCCTAGAAATACCGCGTAGAAACAAGGTGAGCGTCATTTGACACAACCCTCTCCCAGGTTTATGGTCGTGATATGCCCTTTGCGACATGTGCGGGAAGTTGGACTTTCCATTTCGTACATTGACGGCGCGGCCCCTGTCTCGGAGGAGGAGAGTATGCTTTTCCAATGCTACACATCAAGCACTCTACTCTATGGGCGGTCGCCTCGGTGGTGTTCTGGATAATGAAAATCCTCCGCGCTCTACGCAGGAGAAAGGTGGGGAACGCACATAAAAAAAAATAAATAAAGAAGAAGAAAGTCCCGGTACCGACCCCTTTCTGTGCGACCCTGGATGCTTGTAGTTGTACGAAGAAATACACTGAAAAGCGCAGAACTCTTCATACATACGCAGATACACGTGTTGAAACACGACTCACTACACAAAATGGAGTGGCGGTTGCCATAATATATACGACGAAAACACGAACATCATATTCGGTACAAACCCGAGAGCCAGGAGGTGTTGCTTTCGGCCCGCGAGCTGTTCCACAGGAGCGTCTCTTGCCCTTCCGGGGTCACGTGCCACAGAGTCGGGTCGTCTCGTGCCTCAGATGAGTTGTGAAGGGCGCACTGTTCCTCCGCGTGTTGGCGAAAGTGGAACCTGGAAGTTTCGGTGGAAACAGGTAACATCAGTAGGGAGGTTGCTGGGGTTGGTCGTGACGAACGTCTCTGCGCGATGGTACCCATAAAAGTCGCACACCAGTGTGCGTGTAATCGACACAAACAATGGTGCTGGAGTCATGGCTGCACGATTTGAACCACCGATCATGAAGGAACGCGTACGAATGAATGGCCGGGCCGCGGGAATGTCAAGCGGGGCGTGAAAACCGGACAATGGTGCATCGGTGCATAACCCTCTCGTCGTGCTGGGAATCTCTCAGGGCCGCAGCCGACCATACCCTTGACGGAGGTTACAAGCGTTGTACACTTTACGATAATGCCCACCTGTCGACAATGTAGCGCGTCAGTAGCCATCCATCATCGGGATGGAGGATGCGGTAGGGTCGCATCCTGCACGCTAGGTCGTAGAACAGCAAGTCCGGCCTGCATCAAGGGTCTGGCCAGATGCTCTCCAGGGCCTCGCAGACGACCACCATACCTTCGTAAGCACAAAGGTTGGAGATTCCCGTGATGATGCCACAGCTTAGACTCCCCACGAGATGGCCATGGTACATGTGTCTTGAAAACATCAACCGTAGTAGGCGCACGTCAGCGGGCTGGGAACAGAGGCGCAGGGTAATGGCATTCGTGTAAGCAGTTCGTATTACGTGGGTGGGTTGAAAACGCTAAAGATATTTCAATTGATTACGGAGATGGGGCGGTGCGGAAAGTGCAGCGTTGAAGCAATCATAGAGTTTCCCTCCGACCCCCCCAACAGGGGGTTTTTCCCCCCGCTAGATGAGGTTTCGCTCGGGGGGTTACATCCCATTTGCGGGACGGGGAAGATTAGCTGCCCCCCCCCCCCGCCCTCGGTGTTTGCCAGCGAAGTTGGGTTTTCGTCGCTGGCAACGACGTTGTGATACAAGCCGATTACGTCGTGAGCTAGGTGACCCGGCTACAGCTTCCTTTCGCCTCTGATTTTTTGTGCGGTTACCATAATGGTGGTAGAGGGCTAGATGTTGTTGTTGTCTGTTAGAGATCCCCCACTCAGCGCAAAGGGGATGATCGCACCACGTTGTGTGAAATTGGTCAAACACCCTCAATGCAGTTTTACAGTTTGCTTACAACTGTCTCCGGAAGTGGAGGCACAAGAAGAAGCCGAACACCCTTAGCAGGATGCAGCGCACCCTTCATGCGACTCGCCGAATACCTCGCGGTGCCTCGCGCTTCGTGATGTGAGAGCCTGGTCCGGTGAGAACCCGACGTGCTCCGTCCCGGCTTTGTAGAGGTGCGAGGTCAATTGTCTAATGCCAACGGCATGCACGACTATGAGTACAACGAACGGTTGTGCTTACAACCCCCCCCTCTGAATAACTACTTGATCGCTCGGACCTCATCTGCAGTAGAGTAAAGCGAAAGTAGACTGCCATCCGCGTCTTCGTCGTTGTTCACCTTTCGTGCCGAATGAACATTACCTTTTCGTGTGCTGCCTCTGGTCTGTACAACGTACTCATCCACAACACATGCACGTTGTGACCCCCGACACCTCGTCTGCCCTCATAATTCCTAACGCCAGCGCACTCAGGTGCTTGCCAGTACCAGAGCTAAGACCGCTGCCGCCACGGCGACACCCTGGGTCCCCCTTATGTATGGAGTCCGCGACGTCTTTGGTGATTCGGACGACGACATTGACGACAACCGACCCATCCATCAAGTTGGGGACACGGATGATGACGGCGACGGCGAGGATGGGGCGAACGGCTGCAGCCGCGACGACTCTGACGATAGCGTCGCATGCGTAGATCCGCCTACCCTTTCTGACAAACAGAGGAAGGGAGGCCGCCCGACCCGCAAGGGACAACGGTCGACGTCTCCGCGGGCCGGCGCGGCCGGTTGTCCCGTCGACCTGGCGAGAGAGCAGCGGGGCGAGGAGGGGGCCACGCGGAAGAAAGCGTCCAAGGGCGCGTCGGGGGATCCCCTGGATGTAGATTCGGGAGTGTCGGAGCAGCCGGCGCCTAGGGGCAAGAAGAAGGCATCCGTCAAGACTAGGAAGGCCGGTGGGAAGAAGAAGGCACCCGCCAATACTAAGAAGACCGCTGGGAAGAAGATGTCCGAGCCCGTGTCCGAGTTCGAGTCAGAGTCAGAGTCCGACACCACCCGTACGCTGCGGTCGGCCCGGAGGAAGGTGACTCCTGAGCAGAGGAAGAACCTTACCGAAATGTCGAAGTCGACATGCCCTGACCGGATCAAGGAGCGCGACGCCGCCTTCGCTGCCCACAACGAGTCTCTAAGAAGAGGGCGAGGCAGGCTGTCCTGGCCCAGGAAGGCGTTGAGGTAAGCAGTACAACGTTGTGGTGTGGTAATATCGTGTGTTCCGCCGATGACACCCAACTACCGACGATGTATCTGTCCGCGTAGTGCCGGCATGTGTGGAGTTCTACCCGTATTATATGGCCTCGGGTGGATCAGACGTAAATCACACTCCGGTTAAGTAGAACGCTATGCCACGTAGTTGAACATAGGCCGCCTCTGTAGAGTCAAATCTCTGTGGCTACTGATTCACCGCATGCGAGGGTAACGTTCCAATAGAAATCTAACATCGGTGTACTCGAATTGCCCGCCCGCGTTGACGCGAAGGAGGCTACGCTGCTGAAGAGGAAGAAGGGGGAGGCGAAGAGCGCAACGGTTGCGGCCCAGAAGGCGAGTCTATGGTGGTAATAGTACGCTCTGTCGGGTCATGCCGCCATAGCATTTCCCCTAACCCTAGCTGAACGCCACGAGTCCAACCTACATTTTGGGAACGTATTGTGAATGGGAAAACGCGCTGGACACTCTTACTGAACGTCATTTGGGTAGCGCCAAGAGGGCTGGCTATTCTTGCGTGAGTTGGCAGGCACCCTAGACTACCTTACCTGAGAAAGGTGGTGCCACAAATCAAGCTGTAGGCCGCTGGTCGCCGGCGCCCTCTGCTCGTCTTGCGCAATGTCAATTCCAGGAGGGCGGCGCCCCCTGCGTGCCCCCCTCCAAAAGCCCGGGAGCCGCCGAATGTAGGGAAACCCACGTTAGACCATCGTGCACGTACACTCACCTTGCCTTCGCTGCTTTGATTATTTCACGGCGCCGACAATCCAAACGATACTTTACGTGATAGACTGTTATTGTTCCTTGATACTCGTCATGGTATCGGTATTAGGCCCGCACAACGAAGGAGACGCCTGCCCCAACTGCGGCCCGTCGCAACAACGACAAGAACGTTAAGGTAATGGTTGTGAGTTGTTGTTTTCGCCTTGCTCCTTCCTTAACGCTTCAATGGGCGCGTCCGAGTGATGCTGCCGGCCGAGAAGTAAATGACCGAAGCACAAACCCAAGGACAAGAAACTGTCAATATGTTTCCTATCTGTATCCTCGACATTGCCTCGCGCACCGTTACTGGTCTTCGTTTTGCAGGCGCCCCCCGGCACGAAGAAGCCAGCCGCAACACTCGGCCAATCTGCGGCGAAGAGCAAGAAAATTTTGAACAAGGTATTGGGGGAGATGTGTTGTATTCGCCTTGACATTGATCCCCCTTCGGTGCTTCCGTTCTCGCGTCCGAATCATGCTCTAGGTCGAGAGCTGAAAAGCCGCAGCACGTCCCCAACACGAAGTGCATGTTCATGCCGTTTTCATCAGTATAGTTTACCTTGCCGCTCGTAGTTGCTCGTCTTCGTCTTGCAGGCGGCCCCTGGCACGAATAAGCCAGCCGAGAGGGCTGCCCCCGCCGCGGCGAACCTGGACCCAAGCAAGAATGATCAGGTAACTCCCCGAGATTATCGCGTTAGAGTCGTTGCTCCGGTTTAAGAGGGTTGCGTGACCAAGGTCCTCCGGACCCCCCTGTCATATCGGTTGTAAGAGGGTGCCGTCATATGTTGGGGCAATCTGTAGTAGGTAACCTCTTACACAGTGGAGATCGGGAATAACGACAGACACGGTATACTTGACTGCAGCCCAGCAATCCATATGCAACGTACTAGATCTATGTAAGGACGTGTGGTGGACTGTAAAGCGTGGGGTGAGCCGCTTGCCCGGTACGGCATGCCCAGAGCAGCTCAGGTGTAGTGGTCGCCACGGTGACGCCTTCCATTTCATGTTCTGTTCATGTTATGGGGTGTGAACGCAGATGAAAATTGCCTCGAAGGCAAGCTGACATGGCGATTGATGCTAGGAGGCGAAGTACATTCATGTGGTCCATGCTTTTTGAACACATGCCGAGTAGTATAACACGATACAAAGACCCGACCACCTCTCCGGCCAGGAGCTATCTAACGGTTGTATTGCCCACCACGAACAGTGTACTTCGGCCTGCCGCAAACCATACGTCGCCTGCGACTTCTACTGATGCAGTGCGACAGTGTTGAAAGCACACGCATTACCTGCATTTGTCAATACTCCCCGCGTCTGCCCCGCGTCTGCCTGCAGATTCTCTTGGTGTGGTTTCCATTATACCGTCCCTGATAGGATCGACACTGCTGATCACAGAGAATGCGACGGCACACGTGACTTGCACATACACGTGTTTGTTTACGAGTTATTTCATATCCTTGCATCCTCCCCGCACGTACCACCATTTCCAACAAAATTCCACTACTTTTAGGCACCTCCGTCTATATTGTAGTCTCTTCCTGAGTGCGCCTACTTTATCGGGTCAAGTCCGCGACAACCAATTTCAACCATCCATGTCGGAGCCTCCTCGTCAGAGGTATCATCTTCTTACGGAGCCACGACTGCCATAGGCTGATTTAACGCAATCCGCTTTGAAACCGCGCCCGAATTACGTCAACACGCGTGTCGTTCACGCCATAAGACACGCACAAGTTCACATCAATATGTCAATTGATTTTACTTTCGGCAGGCTAGTAAGGGTCCTGTGTCGGCGAGCCCGTCGAACAAGTCTGGACGCGAGGAAAAGAAGACGCGTGATGACACGACTTCCACGGTGAGATGATCCCATCTCCTGTTTCTCACCGCACGCATGAGCCTTTTCGGTGGCCCCGTCGACGTGAATATCAGGGGATGAGACGGTGTGTGACAATACACTTGATGTAACGCTGTTGTCCATAGCAGAGATTGTGGGGTGAACATGTTCGGCACCTTTGCCGGGCTAACGGTCTTCAATAGATGAAGTTGGCGTATTCCGCGCACTTCGTCGTGTGGAATGAAGACAGATGGCGGTATAAGGATGAGGTTACCCTAGGCAACAGAGCGAATAGTATTAAGAGGATATTGCGACGAAACACCCAACCCACAAGCGTTTGTTTCATACACCTCTGACCTCTCACGTGACTTGGTCCTTGAAAGCGCAATATGTCCGTACGACAAGGACGTCGTCTGATGTTCCTTCCTAACGATATTCCACCCCGCCTCTATTGCTGACATACTTCAACAATATGGTCGGCTCCCGCGTGACCGGTGCAAAACTGGGTATCAAACGAAATCGACTTTCGCACGGACACAGGAAGACCTGCGAGACCTTGCGCAGATTTCAGACACTACCTCCATCTCCGAGGACATAGTAACGGCGACGTGCTCACCAACCTTGCCGCCCCGTTCTCCGCCCGGGTTTGCAGGCAAATCGCCGAACGGCTTCGGGAAAATCTTACGTGAAAAAACTCCTCGCCAAACAGAACGCGGTCGAGTCAGGGGACTCAGAGGAAGCTGATGCTGACGAGTCCGTTGACGAGCTCGAGGACGCGCGCGCCGAGCCACATGGTAAGGACGACGTTGTCCTCGTCGTGAAGGGCTCAATCGCTAACTCGATCCAAACTTTTCGTATCCCCATCTCACCGTAGGCGTAGGCCGCAGATGAACGACCGAACCACGGAGCCGGCTCATGTAAGATCATCTCGGGGTGTGTATATGGAGAGCGTATCCGTCGGGCACCCACCATTAATCATGCAAACCTGCTTTGTCCGTACCGATCTTCTCATGGTGACCTAATATTACTGCATACTTCATGCTACCGCGGACGTCATCGTTGCCTTGCAGGTGACCTCGAAAGCGACGACTCACAGGGCGCCGGCGACGGCTCGGCTGACGAAGGTGAAGACCCCCCCCTGGACCACTTCGGGCCTGCGTCGCTGCCGCGCTACCCTGGAAGAAATCCTCTTTGAAGGTGATGCGGGAGTGGCGCGCGGCACTGTATCATCTACGAAACACCCGAGTCGACGGCATTAACGTAGCGATTGCCACCATCCAGAGCGATTCGAAGGACGCGGGAGGCCAGTGTCGTGGGGAACCCCGTGCCGACAGCCAAGAGGTACACGGGAGGCTCATAAATTGATGGGCTTTCATGGTTTTGTGTACAGACTCCTGCACTAAGGATGAACTTACGGAAGCAACGACAGACGTCTCCACGTCCTTGCCCACGACTCCCCGAGTTACGGCCCCCGTTTCGTTCCTGTGCGCTTGGACATGTACGGCTGGCTGGTTGATAAACCTCGACGTGCTACCCGTGCTACCTTGTCCTGCTTCCTTACCATGTCGTGATCCTCGCAGGTGGCTCCTTCAGCTTGCGGCAGTGGATGTCTGCCACGACGACACCTGCTGTCCCGAGACGAAGCTCCTCAAGGATGCCTTCAAGACGCACCCCATCGAGGCGCACCACACGCAGGAACCCATGGTTAGCGCCAAGCCCAAGAGCGCTAAGCGGAAGGGGTGGCAAGACCAAACGTAAACGCTCCAAGTGATTGCGCGTTGACACCGCCCAGCCTCGTACCCCCAGCCAATTCGTGCATTTTAGCGGGGGGGTTATCCCGGGCTTGGGCGGGGTATTATCCCTGGAATAGTTCGTATCATTGCGTCGTTCTAGCGGGCGGTGTTATGGGGTTGAACCCTGGCGACAGTGACTTTTTATGGCGAAAAGCAAATTTTTCTCTCGCGTTAAGTCCTTGGTGTGGAACTCCGTACACCGCTGGAAATACTATTCGAGAGGAAAACAAGACATTTTCACCCCCCGCCATCAGTCCATTGACACGTTTTGCCAGCTTCCATGAATGTCCTTACCAGCTTCCATGGAAGTCCACTTCACTTCCACCACTTCCGTCGAATGTCCCCAAGCGCTCCCTTCACTTCCACCAGTGGCATTTCACCCTACACTATTGCACAAATGATCCTCTCGCCATAACCTCCATGGAAGTCCACTTCACTTCCATGACTTTCACACAATGAACCCAAGCGTTCACTTCACTTCCACAAATGGTCTTTCACCCTACACTATTGGACAAATGATCTTCTTGACAACTTCCATCGAAGTCATCTCCACTCCCATTACTTCCATCGACTGAACTATAGCGCTCCCTTCAATTCCATCAATAGCGTCTCACCCTACACTATTGGACGAATGATCCACCTCGTCGGCCTCCATGGAAGTCCACTTCACTTCCATGACTTCCGTAGACTGAACCCTTGCGCTCCCTTCACTTCCACCAATGGTGTTTCACGCTACACTATTGGACAAATGATCTTCTCCCCAGCCTCAATAAAAGTCACCTCCACTTCCGTTACTTCCGTAAAATGAACCCAAGCGCCCTCTTCACTTCAACCCATGGTGTTTCACCCTACACTATTGGACAAATGATCTTCTTGACAACTTCCATGGAAGTCACCTTCACTTCCATGACTTCCGTAGACTGAACTATGGCGCTCCCTTCACTTCCCCCCAATGCCGTCTCACCCTACATTATTGGACAAATGATCCTCTCGCCAGCCTCCATGGAAGTCCACTTCAATTCCAACACTTCCACAGAATGAACCCAAGCGCTCCCTTCACTTCCACCAATGGCGTTTCACCCCTAGACTATTGGACAAATGATCCTCTTGACAGCTTCTATGGATGTCACCTCCACTTCCATGACCCCCGTAGACTGAACTTTAGACCTCCCTTCGCTTCCGCCAAGGGCGTTTCAAACTACACTATTGGGCAAATGATGCATATCATCAGCCTCCATGGAAGTCCACTCCACTTCCACCACTTCCGTAGACGGAATTATTGCGCTCACTTCACTTCCACGAATGGTGTTTCACCCTACGCAATTTGACGAATAATCCTCTCGCCAGCCTCCACGGAAGTCCACTTCAATTCCTCAACTTCCGTAGACTGAACTATTGCGCTCCCCTCAATTCCACCGTCGATAGCGTGTCACCCTACATTATTGGATAAATTATCCTCTCACCAGCCCCCATAGAGGTCACCTCCACCTCCATTACTTCCATAGACTCAACCCAATCGATCCCTTCACTTCCCCCAATGGCGTCTCAACCTACACTATTTGACAAATTATCCTCTTGACACTTTCCATGGAAGTCACGTCCATTCTCATGACTTCCGTAGACCGACCTATAGCGCTCCCTTCACTTCCACCAGTGGCGCTTCACCCCTACACTATTGGACAAATGATCCTCTTGACAGCTTCCATGGATGTCACCTCCACTCTCATGACTTCCGTAGACTGAACCCACGGGCCCCCTTCGCTTCCACCAATGGCGTTTCACCCTGCACTATTTGACAAACAACCCTCTTGACAACTGCCTTATAGAAGTCCACTCCACTTCCACGACTTTCGTAGACTGAACTACTGTAAGCGCCCCCTTCACTTCCACCAATGGCATTTCACCCTACACTAATGGGCAAATAATACTCTTGACAACTTCCATGGAAGTCCACTTCACTTCCACCACTTCTGTAGACTGAACCAAAGGGCTCCCTTCACTTCCACCAATGGCGTTTCACCCTAAACTATTTGACGAATGATGCATCTCGTTAGCTTCCATGAAAGTAACCTGTACTTCCATGACTTCCAAATAACGAACCCAAGCCCTCCCTTCGCTTCCACCAATGGCATTTCACCCGTCATTATTGGACAAATGATCCTCTCGTCAGCTTCCATAGAGTTCAACTTCACTTCCACAGCTTTCGTTCCGTAGACGGAACTATAGCGCTCCCTTCACTTACACCCATGGCCATGGCGTCTCACCCTACATTATTGGACGAATAATGCACCTCGTCAGCCTCCGTGGAAGTCCACTTCACTTCGACCACTTTCGTAGACTGAACTTTAGAGCTCCCTTTACATCCACCAATGGCGTTTCACCCCTAAACTATTGGACGAACAATCCTCTTGACAACTTCCATGGAAGGCCACTTCACTGCCACAACTTCTGTAGACTGAACCCAAGCACTCCCTTCACTTCCACCAATGTCGTTTCACCCTACACCATATTGGACAAATGATCCTCTTGACAACTTCCATGAAAGTCACCTCCACTTCCATGACTTCCATAGACTCAACCCAAGCGCTCCCTTCACTTCCCCCGATGGCGTCTCAACCTACACTATTTGACAAATGATCCTCTTGACCAGTTCCATGAAAGTCCACTTCCCTTCCATGACTTCGGTAGACTGAACCCAAGCGCTCCCTTCACTTCCACCAACGGCGTTTCACCATACACTTTTCGACAAATTATCCTCTTGACAGCTTCCATGGAAGTCACCTCCACTCTCATGACTCCCGAAGACTGAACACAAGCGCCCCCTTCACTTCCACCAATGCCGTCTCACCCTACACCATTGGACGAATGATGCATCTCGTCAGTTTCCATGGAAGTCACCTTCACTTCCACCTCTTCCGTACAACGAACCCGAGCACTCCCCTCACTTCCACCAGGCTACACGGTTGGTTTGAATGATGTATCTCGTCAGCTTCCATGGAAGTCACCTCCACTTCCATGACTTCCGAAGACTAAACTTTAGAGCTCCCTTCACTTCCACCAATGGCGTTTCACCCTACACTATTGGAGAAATGATCCTCCTGACAACTTCCATGGAAGTCCACTTCACTTCCATGACTTCCGTAGTCTGAACGTTTGCCCTCCCTTCAGTTCCACCTGGGGCGTTTCACCCTACACTATAGGACAAGTGATCCTCTTGACAGCTTCTGTGGATGTTACTTCCACTCTCATGACTTCCCTAGCATAAACCCAAGCCCCCCACCGCTTCTACCAATGGCATTTCACCCTACACTATAGGACCAATGATCCTCTGGACAGCTTCCATGAAAGACACCTCCACTTCCATGACTTCCATAGCCTGAACTATAGCGCTCCCTTCACTTCCACGAATGGCGTTTCACCCTACACTATTGGACGAATGATGCATCTCGTCAGCTTCCATGGAAGTAACCTCCACTTCCATGACTTCCATATAACGAACCCAAGCGCTCCCCTCACTTCCACCAATGGCGTGTTTCACCCTACACTATTGGACACATGATCCTCTTGCAGCTTCCATAGAGTTCAACTTCACTCCCACAGCGTCCGTAGACTGAACTATAGCACTCCCTTCACTTCCACCAATGGCGTCTCATGCCACAATATTGGACGAATGATGCACCCCGTCAGCCTCCGTGGAAGTCCACTTCACTTTCACAACGTCCGTAGCCTGAAGTATGACGCTCCCTTCACTTCCACCAATGGCCTTTCACCCCTATACTATCGGACGAATGATCCTCGTGACAACTTCCGTGAAAGTCCGCTTCACTTCCGCCACTTCCGTAGACTGAACCCGAGGGCTCCCTTCACTTCCACCAATGGCGTCTCACCCCTACACTATTGGACCAATGATCCTCTTGACACGTCCATGGATGTCACCCCCACTTCCATGACTTCCGTAGACTGAACCGAAGCGCTCACTTCACTCCCACCAATGGCATTTCACCCTACACTATTGGACCAATGGTCCTCTGGACACTTGCATGGATGTCACCTCCACTCTCGTGACTTCTGTAGAATGAACTCAAGGACCCCCTTCGCTTCCACCAATGGCGTTTCGCTCTACACTATTGGACGAATAATGCATCTAGTCAGCTTCCATGGAAGTCCACTTCAGTTCCAACACTTCCGTACAACGAACCCCAGCGCTTGCCTCACTTCCACCAGTCTACACTATTGGTTTGAATGATACATCTCGTCAGCTTCCATG